ACTATTTAAGTAGGGATTTGCAACTGTAGTTCCTGTGTGGGTCACATGATTTGCACCAGTTTTTCACTGCTGAGCTTCAGTTACTGCTGTAATATAATGAAGTTCATTCAGTATGTTGGTATTGCATTCAGATGCACTGATCTGAGTTCAAATGCTATATTTAATTCACCATTCAATGCTTCTGATGTTCCAGTATTCAAGGGTAGAAGGATTGTGCTGGTCACCCTGACATTAAACTTTAATATACAACTTGGTGTGTGCATGTATTTTGCTCATTCATCCATATCTTGATTCAATTCTGCTACCCGTCAAGTTTAAATTGAGAAGGATCATGCAATATTTTGCTTCAGTATATTGATATTTTAGGGGAACTTAGTTAGTTTCTCAGACAATTTTTTTTGTACATTTCTTTCTGTATGTAGATTCTAATATAGATGTTCAGAGACTTAACCAAAAAAGAAACATTTTCTTGCTTGATTACTATAGCCTCTTAAGTTGTGGGCAAGTAACTCAATACAATGAAAATAAAAATCATTTCAAACTATAAAATCAGAATTTACGGTAGTTAAAATGCTGGAATAAAGAAGTATTCAGTTGGTACAAGGTGTTCAACAGGGACAGGGCCTGTCTCACTTCAACTGGAAGGGAGTTCCTGCGGTACTGAACTCATGGCTCTTGGTGGTCACAAGTCATGTATCCAAGTCATGGGGCACTACTGCCTGTGACTCTCCAAAAGACGTCATTTATCAGGCAGGGATGTAAGGAAGGAATCAGCTGGTCCTTGAGGTATCCAGGACCGAAGTTCTTAAGAGCCTTGTACAAGAATCTTGAACCTTGCCTGTTAGCGTATAGGCAGCCAGTGCAAGCTTTTGAGCACCCAGGTTATGTGCTTGCAATATTCTGTCCCCATCAGCAACCTAGCTGCTGTGTTTTGCACCAGCTAGAGCCTCCGGACCAGACCCAAGGGCAACCTCACATAGAGCAATTCCTCCCCCATATCATTCAAATTATGCAAGACATGTGCCTTCTGTATCCAGAAAGTCCCAGCTTCTGTGCTAAGAAAATCTGTATTCTGTTGTTAAGATGTATAATGCAGATTACATATACAGTAGAACCTTGGCTGTTGAACGCCTTGGTACTCAAACATTTCAGCTCCCAAACGCCGAAAACCCGAAAGTAAGCGTTCCGTTTTTCGGAAGCCAAACGTCTGATGCGGCTGTCAGCTATTGTTTCTGGGGTGCCTGCACCAATTGGAAGCTTTGCCTTGGTTTTCAAACATTTCGGAAGTTGAACGGACTTCTGGAATGGATTACATTCGAGAACCAAAGTACCACAGTACTGTAATAAGAAATGCCTTGGCTACTGTGTCTGCACCAGTTATATTTCATGGCAGTTGGGTCTGAAGGTGCTTTAAGTTGCATATGCAGCCTCTTATGTGACCTGTCACTGTTAGTTTTACATTTTCATTTTTTTGAAGTGTGAACATTACCTGAAATGCAATGATTTGGAGCAGATCCAAAATAGGTTTCTGCTACTGAAAAAACTCCTCCTATTCACAGATGGAACCAAGATCCAGTGGATCTGCAGGAAGAGGAGGAAAAGGCAGTTTTCACAAATTCCTCCTGCAGAACTCCATGCCGCCTCTCATACTGCTGTGGAGGGTGTCTAAACCTTCTGAAGAATATTTGGGGACACATGGTGCAAAGTAGTTGGTAAAAGTCAGCTCCCTCCTTCTGCTGATGGGAGGCCAAGGGATGCTGCTGCCGGGGGTTACCTAACTAGCATCCAAACCATTATCCCAAATATTTGTGTGAGCTAACAGGTTTCTTCATCCTGTCTTATAGGCCCTCATCCACTCCTATTAATATGGATGATCTTCATACTGTTTGGAGGGATGTAATGTACTGTGTGTCCACATTACATGACACAATTTGCTTTGCCTGTAGCAGACAGTACTGCAGTTTGCCTCCATACCACAGTAACCTTTGCTCCCTACCACAGTAACATAACACCACCTGCTTCCCAAACATGTGCTCTCCCACTGAGCTATGGGCCTTAACTGGATTGATTTTTAGCTTGCTAAATTGTTAGTCATCAATGACAGACCTAAACACTTGTCATTTAAGACTCTCCCCCCTGTCCCAAAAAGGGATGGAGAAATGGTGGCCCTTGATGTTGCTGGGCTCCAACTCCCATCAGCCTTAGCCAGCATGGCCAGTGGTCAAGGATGATGGGCATTGTAGTCCAGGAATATCTTAGAAGGCAACAAGTTCCCCATCCCTGTTTTAAAGGAAAAGGTTTTCAAATGTGAAATCCTAGTGATTTCAAATCCTAGTGATTTGGATTTATCCTATTATTTCACAATCATTGTGAGTTACAGAATATATAATCTATTATAGTAAAGAGAAGGTTTAAATTGTTCCTTCAATTTTGAATTCCTTTGTTAATGGTACATACAACCATAACCATTTATCCAGTTGCAAAGAATGTGGACTAGTAAATATTTTGAAGGAGAACCTAGGAGGGAGGCATGTCTTGAAGCGAACTGAAAATAATACAGAACATGAAGCAAATTGACAGACTGCATAATATAAATACAAAGTTGAGACACATAAAACAAAATAAATACAAATTATTCAAATGCTTGTGTTGTTTCTTAACACATAGTTATATTGGGTATTGGACACCATTGATCTATGTTCAAGTTTGAGAAACCTGTAATACTGAGAAACCCAATTTTTTGTCATACACATAGCATGTCGGTTTGTGTGTATATATTACATAATTTTTTCCTCCTTCTAAAACTAAATTTACATTACAGAACCAATTTCCCACTGTTGCATAAACCCTCATCTCTGGTTTGTGTCTAGTGTGCAGTCTGGTGTGCTGTTATTGCTTTGCTACTGGATAGGAGAATTTAACACTTGGATAACTCGACAGTGCTGATTTTTGTCCATTAGGGACTCACTCAGTGGAGAAAATAATTTACCCTCAAGGCTCTGAGATATATTAAACTACCATCTTGTGGTTAAAAACCTTACAAAGATTTTTTTTTAAGTTTGCTTTAATACCAACATGGTTTTCTTAAAATTGCAGGGTAGGATGGAACCAAATGATAGTTGTGTTTAAAGCAACTGATGCAAGTCAGACAAGCCCCTACATATTCACAATCCAGATCGCAGTGTACCCCAATGGGGGAGTTGATATAAACTACATAATGTCACTGCTTTGAAAATAGATCCAGATAATACAACCATGAGAATCAAGCTGTATTATCTAGGGATGACCCAAACAATAAGAGCAACAACCCAGGGTCTCTCGATATCTCTCCTGACAATTCAGCAAAAGTCTTCCATAGAGCCTGAAAATACCAACTGAATGCAAATCTCTGCAGTCTCTTGCTTTTAGTTGTGACGTATCACTGGTTTCCATGCTAGGTTCTCTTGAGTACCCACATTATTTTGAGTATCTTAAGACCCCCTTTTCCTGCTGCAAGTGTGTCTCTCTGTGGGTCAGAATGTCAGAAATAGTGCTGGGAGTATATTGCACTAGAGTGCCATAAAATACCAGTGATAATTTCCATTTGCCTTTGTGGCCTAATACCCAAAACTATTACATGTGTTTAAGATTAAAATGGTTCATTTTTTTCCATTTTCTGGGCCATTTTGTCGACTTTAATACCAGTATTCTGTATGTTCTTTATGATTGCTTGTAAGCTAGCTTGGCGTAGAAGTTGCTTTGTAAGCAGAGTTATGTGTTTCCAAGGAATGAAGCTTTTTTTGGTGAAAGCCATGAAATGTTGGGACTGAAAAGTTGTTTGAGGGTGCTGTATAATAGTGCTGTGTGACTGAGTCAATTTCCAAGCAAAAGAAACACATGAAGCCAGCAAACATTATTTGGGAACCTCAGTTTAGTCTCTTCTTGAAACTGAGCCACAAAACCCCCTCACATTGGTTGTATTAATGAAGTTTGTAATTCCTGACCATCCACAGGACTGATGTTTGCAGAGCTGCTCCTTTTCTAGTCTTTGATCCATTCATACAACCTAATTTGCATGTTGAAATATAGGTGAAGTTAAAGTTTTCATGATTCACTTTATGAGTGAAGGTTGAGTGGCAGAGCAGCCAAACTACTTTCCTCCCATTCATTCATCCATTTCTGTTTTTAGTGTGTGTCTACCTTCTTCACAGAGTTGAAAAGTTCTGAAAGTCCACCTTGCCTGGCCACCACGTGCACTGTGCCAGCTTTTCTGCTTGTCTGTTTCCCAGGGATAAATCCATTAATTCTTCCTGCCATGGTATGTTATAAGCAGGGAGCAGGCATGCTATGGAAAGGTATTGTGACTGCTCCTGGGAAAACTCGCACACTTGAAATCTAATCAAAGTACACCTGTTTCCAGAATGCCCCACCTAGCTCTAAAACTAAACACACAAGGGGCATTGTGATGTCACATGCCAATCTCAAAATGTCCTTTCTGAACAGGCTGTGTTTAGTTTCAGCTAGTTGAGATGTGATAATACAGAGCTTTCCAAAATCACTGCTGCTTACAGGTCAGTTTGCTCAAAATGGCTTATACAAGTGAGACAAGCCATGTACCGTATCTTTCGCTCTATAACACACACCCGACCATAACACGCACATAGTTTTTAGAGGAGGAAAACAAGAAAAAAAATATTCTAAACGAAACAGTGGATGTATGATTTTTGTGGTTCATGCTGTGGCCACAGATATGTGATCTGACGGTGAGTTTGGGGTAGCCCAATGCAAAAATCCTGAGGATCCATGTGGATCCGTACTTTGTAACCACGTTTTAAGTGGGGAGGGAAGGAAAAGCACTCAAGGGACAAGGAACACGCGTGGGGTGGGTGGAGAAGGATGCTGCTAATAATGCAGAAGAGGGGTATATGGGGAGAAGGCTCCTCTCCTCTCCCACTTTGCTCCTTTAAAGCAAGCAGGCTCTGCTTTTCTCCCTCCTCCCGGCTTAGCGAGCTGAAAAACTTTGCTGCTATGTAGCGGGAGGAGAGAGGGACAGAGAGCCTGCTTACTTTAAAGGAGCCAACCGGACAGGAGCCGCTTACACTCGTGTAAGCGGCTCCTCTCCTCTCCCGCTTTGCTCCTTTAAAGAAGCAGGCTCTCTGTCCCTCTCTCCTCCCCACTCAGCGGCTCTTCTCCCGCTTTGCTGTTTCAAAGCGAGCCACGGAGGAGGGAAGGAAGGGGAACCATGGATCCTCTGCTCACGACTGCAGCAGATGCCCCCCGCCACCCGTAGGCATTCCCTTCATAACACGCACAGACATTTCCCCTTACTTTCTAGGAGGAAAAAAGTGAGTGTTATGGTGCAAAAAATACGGTACTTCAAGGTGGAGGTAGAAAGCTATTTGTCTCTTCTGTGGTTTATTGTGTGTTAATGTTGATTCTATAACTGTGTAAAAGAGAGATTTTTCAACTTGGTTCTCTTGGTTCTGTCATTTGCGTTTCTGAAATCTCCTGGGCATAATGTTTTCCCTCTCCACACTTCCTTGTCAAGTCCTATGGTTTTCCTTACTTTGAGTGATTGCTTATATTTGCTAGCAATCGCTTAGGCACAGGCAGTAAAATCCTAGAAACTAAGAGGCTCCAGAGATCTCTGTGCACCAGCTTGTGAACCCTCTTATACATCTTGCACATATAAACACCATATAACCACATTTAGATAGCTAGCACACAAGGCCAGAAGAACTGGTAGTACAATGCAACAAATAGGCAGCTCATTTGGGAGGAGACAAGTATGACAAACATGTCCCTGGGACAAGAGTTCAAGGCCCACTAGTGAGGCAATTTTCATCTGAGGAGGAAGATCCTCTTCTCAGGCAATGAAAGGGAAGAACTAGATTAAGCCATCAGGGAAACTGCAGTTTTACAGAAGCAAATGCTGGTAGCCACTGGTTGTGATCTCCCAATAGAAAAGGCTCAGTCTTGAGAATGTTTGCAGTGTCTGAGCCAATCGCCTGGTTCTCACATGATTGAAGATGCCTTTTGTATCACACAGCCTCTGCCACTCCATCACTCACATCCACATCACAATCAGACTTCTTACCTTTGAAGGATCTCAAGTGGCTAGAGAGTGATGCTGCATTTGTATTACTGCAGATGCCACATAATACCCATTTTGCTATCATTTAGCGTGGCAGCACCAGCACTTTGGAACTCCCTGCCTATTGAGATCAAGTAAGCACCTTCACTGCACGGGCAACAACTGATTGATGGATAAATGCACATGGCACCAAACCTAGAAGTGACCTGAAAACGACTTTCATGACCTGCCTTTCCACTCTTGGAGTTTTCTGTGTGGAAGATGCTGCCACCCGCTACTGAGGAAGAACTCATTGGTCAATGCAACTTAGCCAATACTCAGTGTGTCTGTATTATCTAGTGAAAAGAGAGAGATCACTGCAGCCATATTTGCATTCCTGTGTGTGATGCTTTGCCCTTGCATCCACAGTTGGCAGAGTAAAGTTCAAGATCCTGTTGGGTTTTGTGTCTGGATTCATGAGGCACAGTCTGTGAAGCCAAAGACAAGTGTTAGCAACTCCCCCCTCCCCATGTGTTCTGAGGCCCAAGGAATTTGTGCCACAGAGAGAGCGAGAAAGAGAACCCCGTGCTATGTGCGTTAATGTCTGAGCAATGGACACATGTAGCACTGTGTGTAGGATGGAAGGAAGTGAGGGGTTGTGTGACATGTGTTTTGGCTCTCTAACAGAATTCAGTGGAAGTATTTCTAAATAACACCACACAGGAACAAAGGAAGTTGCCTCAGAACACAGCAGAGTATTTGTCCATCTTTGCATATATAAAAGTTCCCATGCTGAACCCAGTGAAGTAAACTAGGTAGCAGATGATGATTGAGGCCACTGCCTGAAGACTCAGGAATGTGGTTGCAACTAGTTAGTAGACTGCACTGGGTTTGATTTCCATTCCATAAATCTTTCCCAGACTATCTATTCTGACTCATTGCAGCAGGTTTCCTGGGTCTCAGACAGACGTCTGCCACTCCTCACCTGCTACCTGATCCTTTTAACGGCAGTTGCCAGCCAGAGATCAGACATGGGAACATAGAATTGTAGAACTGGAAATAACACTGTGGATCATCTAGTAGTCCAACCAGCTGCAATGCAGGAATATGCATATGGGGATTGAACCTTGGCATTATCAGCACCATGCTCTTACCAACTGAGCAAGACACATGCTCTCCCACTGAGCTGTGATCCCTCCCCTGTCATGATCCCACTGCTGTTCATTTTTGGCCTCTCTGCTAGAGTTGCTCTGGACTATGCCAGGGAAATAGGCTAAGATTAGTCTGGTTTATTTTGTGTTCTGTTTTGACCTTCTGCCTGCTCTTCCTTCTACCTTTTATTTCTAATAGAATTCCTTAATATGATTGCTAAGTGTGTGCCAACCTCAGGATTCTAGAATCACCATGTATCTAAACACTTGGAATTCATGGTAGTGTTGCAAGAGATCAGCACATTCTTCTGAGATCCAGGAGAGACTAGGGGAGTACGGATTGGAAAATGCAGGGTGCATTGGTCTCAGAGTCCCTGGGTTTTAGGAAGTTAGCGGAGCCAGGGAAATGAGCATGCTGCTTTTATCTTGCAGTAGGATAAGACACTGTCATGGACTGGTTTGATGCTGAGGAATGATGGGAGGAACCAGCTGGGAAACCACCAAGGGAAGAAGGCTCAGAGCCTGGATAGTGATGGTGGGACAACAATGAGAAGAGGGAAGAGGAGGTGTCTTAAGTTGAAGGGGTAACAGGGCTCAGTGAGTTGGAAGAGTCTGTGGCAGGTAGAAGTTCAGAATCAGAGGCAGAAGCAAAGGCAGGCTAATGAGAGGAGGAAAGTCAAGAGACAGAGATGACTCAGACTGGTGAAGAGTCACAGGTGTCTCCCCCTCCTGCTATGACAAACTTCCCTCCCCCTGACTCCGAGAAGCAGGAGAGGCATGAAACGGGTGGAGCAAAGACAGGCATAGTCTTGGATTGCTTAGAAAAAGCTTGAAGAGGAGGAGACATAGATAGCTGTTGGGAGGCAGGAACCTTTAGTCTGATTTCATTGATTAAGACCATGGCCTGCTAATGGTCATTAGACCTGAAACTCAGCCAAGGCTATGAAGATCATGTTTTTGCTAATAAAGAGTTAAATTCAACTCTGAACTGCGTGGTGTCTACTCAACACTGAGTAGACTCATTGAAATCAGTGGTTTTAAGTAATTTGCTCATTGACTGTACTCTTGAGTATGACTAATGTTTGGTATTGCCCTATGTGAATTCCTGTAGTTGATCTTCTATGTTCTTCTTTCTCCCTGTGGTCCAAGGAATTCACAGCATCAGCTAAAATATTTGAAGCATGTTGTAGTTTTGGTCATCTGTATTACACAGTGTCAGCTTTTGTGGAGTCCGCTTCATTCTTGAATGTCTGCTGAAAAGTCAGGGATCTGTGCCCATTGTAATGAATGTGTGTCTGGCAGGGTGTCCTGTGGATTCTAAAGTGGTCAGTAGTCTTTCTCTAGCAACCAACAGACTAATTCTATGGCTATTTGCTCATATTTATTAACAGACCAATTCTCAGAAATATGCCCTATTTTGTTCAATAGGGCCACTTCCTAGTGTTTTTAGGACAGAGCCCCACCCCCACTCTGTTTTTAGTGCCCTCTGATTGGAAGAGAAAGTGGTGGCTGTCAGGTATGGTGTGTTTTGCACCCATTTGATCTGAGGACAAAATTTGAGAGCCCCAATCTTACTAAGATTAAAGATGGAAAAATGTAAAGCATGCCCATTTATTTTGGTGTTATTGCACTCAACTAGCAGGGTTGTAAGATTTCATTAGTATATTAATCAACTAAAGATTTGATAGCAAATTAATTTGATAGCCAATTAATCAGCGGGGATGAACATTAAGAGCAAGACTGCCTTCCTTCTTTCCAGCCTCCTTGCTGAACTTGGTGGGATACTTGGATTTTCAAACTGAAACTGCTATGGCTTTCTTACAATAAAGCCCACTGACAACAAGCTACTGTGCTAAAAAGAATGCAATTGCGTGTTCTAAATCAGCATCTTCAGCAATCTTGAAAGAATGGAATTTGAACTTCTTACCATTATATAGAGAAGTGTGTGGGTTTGACTCCGTCATTTGCCTGATTCACTGTTCACATTAAGCCAAACTATGGCTCAGTGTGGGAAAGGAGATCAACAGTTGCTTCTTTCCTTCCTGGCCATTTTGCTGTTGCACGGTGCTGAGCTCAACCGTGGTTTGAATTAGAGTGTCATCTAAGCCTGAGCTTTTGATTTAGCTCTCCCAGACAAACCATGAGCAGTAAACCATAGCACAAACCTTAGTTACAGGTCATAGTTAGTCTAGAGAGAACTATGCATGAGCCCAAGTTTGGACAATGAAGTAAGCCAAACTATGACTTGGGTCATCATGGGAATGGGAAACTCCCCACCAGAGTAGAATCATATATCAAATAGATGGAAAGCTCTTCAATCTGAGCAGGCTGAAAGCAAAGAGTAAGGTTACCATAACTTCCGTCATAGAGCTTCAGTATGCTGATGACAACGTAGTGTGTGCATGCTCAGAGGATGGCCTCCAAACCATCCTAACTATCTTTGCAGAAGCTTATGAAAAGCTTGGCCTATATCACTCAACATCCAAAAAACCAAAGTGCTGCACCAACAAGTATAGAATAAGCCCTCTGCAACGCCACAAATCCAACTCAGTGGTGTAACATTGGAAAATGTTGATCACTTCTCCTACCTAGGCAGTTATTTTCCCACAAGGGCCAACATTGATGCCGAAATCCAGCATCGCCTGAGCTCTGCAAGTGCGGCTTTCTTCCTATTGAAGTGCAGAGTGTTTGAGGACCGGGACAATCTCAGGGAAACATAAATGCTTGTTTACAAAGCTATTGTACTACCAACCTTACTATATGCTTGTGAAACATGGACCACTTATAAACGCCATCTCCAACTCCTTGAAAGATTCCATCAATGGTGTCTCCGAAAAATTTTACACGTCACTTAGGAAGACAGGCAAACTAATATCAGTGTACTGGAAGAAGCAAAGATCACCAGTGTTGAAGCAACGATTCTTCAACATCAACTTCGTTGGACTGGTCATGCTATGTGGATGCCTGATGATTGTCTTCCAAAGCAACTACTCTATTCCAAACTTACAAATGGAAAGCGCAATGCGGGTGGTCAACAAAAGAGGTTTAAAGACTGTCTCAAGGCAAATCTAAAAAAATGCAGTATAAACACTGACAACGGGGAAACACTGGCCTGCGAGCGCTCCAGTTGGAGAACATCCTTTACCAAAGGTGTCATCGGCTTTGAAGACACTCGAACTCAAGGGAGAAACGTGCTAGGAGGAAGGCACGCTTGGCAAATCCACACCGTGATCAACTCCCACCCGGGAGCCAACATCCCCACTGTGGAAGGGCGTGTGGATCCAGAATTGGCCTCCACAGTCACTTATGGACTCATTGTGAAAACCGTGTTTATGGAAGACAATCTTACTGGGCTACAAGTGATTGCCAAATAAGAAGAAGATTTAAAGAGGAAACTGAAAGTATTGCTTCCCTACTTGGACAAAGATCTATTCTACAGCTTTATTCTACAGCTGTACTCATTTTTCTTCCCTTATGGCTTGCTTAGTAGTGTAGGATTTCAGATTGTGGATTATTGAGTGCAAAATCCCCCCCCCCCCGCTTTTTATGGTTTGTATATGCCTGCACTTTTATTTGGAGTTCCTTTAAAATAGGAGGCTAAAGTAGGGATATATTAGAAAATTATTATAATTGAATCAGTGACACCTGACACAGATCTGAATAACTCTCTTTTTGTATTTATGGAGCACCTGAAATATACTATTCTGAAATCAAATTTGTTAAAAGCATTTCATCTTTTTTCAAAGCAGCAGATCTCTTCTGTTGTGTGTACACATCCCTTCCTCTTCCTTTTCCCTCCGGTATGTAAAGTTATTTTGGTAGATTATTCCTATTTCTCTTACTTGTTCTCATATTATTTTAATTGTCATTTTATGTAATACCTTAGAGGACAATCCACAAAGCATTTCTCATGCCTAAATCAGCATTACTTTCAGTATGCCTTGTAATGGTGGATTATTCTCTTAGAGTGTAATCCTATACATGTCTACTCTGAAGTAAATCCCATTGAGTTCAGTGGGATTTACACCCAGTTAAGTGTTCATAGGATTTCAGCCTCAGTAACTGTATTTGCATAACAATTTAGGTATGAAATAAAAATGCTTTAGAAAAATGGCCTGTTAAAATAGCCAGCCATAGTTTGAGGCTTTTGACAATTTTAAGCTGTTCTAATTAGCAATGAGGGTGGTGAAAAGCTTCTTTGGAATGGTAGGTTAATTTTAAAGACGTGCAACACTGCATCTTGCTAAATTATCTATGACAGAGCTTTAAAAGCCTGTATAGCCTTTTAAAAAGAGGTAATGGATGGGATACAGATTTTTCTAATCATGGAGAAGGCTAACATAAGGAGTGAAATATGTAATGTTTCAAAACAATTCCTGTTGTTAATTACTGTCTTTTCAGGCAAATTCCAGGAAATTTGTTGTGAAAGAGCGAGGGGAAAAGGGGCACGGGTCTTTCCCTAACTCCATATTTATTCCAGTTTTAATTATTTACAAAATGTAAATAAATGCTCATTAGCAAAGAATCATACTTGAATGTAATTAGCAGTTCGATATTAAAGTAGGTTTTGGCAAAGGGTGGCTAATCTGTGACCCATCCACATGTTGCTGCCCTGAAAGTCCCACCGTGCCTTATTATAGGCCATGCAAGCAGGGGCTGATGAGAGCTGGGGTCTAAAAGCATCTGGAGAGTCACAGGTTATGTCCCGCCTGCTGCATCATATGGCTTTGTGAAATATTTGATTATCTCCCCTCACACTGGCTGCCTTGTTTGCAATTTAAATAGCACACAAATTGATTAATACATAGATTACGTTTAGTGTGGAAGCTTGCAACTCTTTGGAATTTTATAGCGCAGGATTGCTGCTTTAGAATGCAGTTGAACCAAAAGTGTGTACAGTGGTACCTCAGGTTAAGTATTTAATTCGTTCTGGAGGTCTGTTCTTAACCTGAAACTGTTCTTAACCTGAAGCACCACTTTAGCTAATGGGGCCTCCTGCTGCTGCCGCGCCGCCGGAGCACGA